AGCCAATTCTGAAAAGTTCTATAGGCGACAGTTACCACTGTCCGTCAAATTAGTCCTTAACTTAGTTGCCATTCGAAGTTGTATAAAAAAACTCCTTTTTATTTCTTTTCGAATGGAACCCGAGATCTCATTTAACAACATCTTATTTTGCTTGCCAAAAAGATTTTCTTTTTTAATGAATGCTAATGGAATGGTAACCTCGCCTGAGCTGTCAATATACGCTGGCGTAGCACCAGTGAGAGATGATAGGGGAGGATGAACTCAGATTAGTTAGCTCATTGTGACAAATATAATAGGAATTAATTACGATAGTTTCCAACAGGAACCGCGTGAAGTTCGACCTGACAGTGTATATTGCCTGTAGTAGGATTTAGTTCTCAATACTAATAATCCCTTGCCCTCCTGCTACAGATGTTGTCAAAAATAAACGATCTTAAGAAAACACAAGGTCAAATATATTGTCCCTGTATTGCGATTGATCAAATCAAAGATGTTGTAACTCAACGGTTTTTTTTATAGGTGAAAATGGTATTGTAACTCCGCCTGCGCTAACGGGATACGCTGGCGGGGTACCATTGAAGGGTGATAGATGAGAATGAAAACAGGCCAGTTAGTCGATCATGATGAATTCATTAGGAATTAACCATGATAGTTTCCAGAGGGACCTGCGTAGAGGTCGACCTGGTTGGGTATATTGCTAGCAATGGGACTCTCAGTCTCCATTACTAACAATCCCTTTCCCCCCAACTCGACGAGATTGTCCGTTCTAAGTATTTTTTCACGCTTCTTCAAATTTACAGGAGAAGTACATGACCGGTCTGACGAGTATAGTGTTCGGCCTGGTGGCCCTGGGGCCGGCCGCGTTGTCCCTGATGTTCCCGGACACGACCAACACTGACCTCCCGGACAGCGTGAACGACGCTGAGCGGCTGGGTGACGCGGACGTCGCCAGTGACCTGATCAAGTGTGAGGTAGACTTCAAGCCGGCAATAGTGGATCAACGATGATGAGAATAGGCACACAAGTTGCGTAGTAAAATTGATAAACAATGAATGAGTATACTTTATTTGCTTTACAAAAGAAATAAAGCAAGACAACTGTAACATAATGTAAACTTAAACGTCATTACTTTAGCTGTTATGTCTATGTCCACTACTGGACATAGGCCTCCCCTATAAGGGGGAGTTTGGCCAGTAGTTGCTATGCTTGGCAGGTGGATTGGCAACTGCAGTTTGGTTTTGGTAATGTTTTAAGAGTGACTCTTTTACCTATCTCTTAACCATTAAGTTCCTTTAGTCGTCTCATACGACAACTACAAGCAAGGAAGGGGTGGTCCATTCTATGCCGGGACCACACGGCAATCTATTAATGTATGTATTGATATTTAACTGGAATACCAGTATTACAACACTGCATACATCTTCCATTTTAACGAAATGGGGTATTCAGTGTATTGCAAATTTTTTTATACAACTTAGAATGGTGAACAAGCTGACGTCCCACCTGATGGTAAGTGGTAACCGTCGCCTATAGACATGAGCAGTACCATGGACATAACAGAGTATACTGTTTCGCCCATGATACCCCCCATGCGTTGCCATTCCTGAGGACTCAAATGTTATTCCTCTGTACCCAGTAAATTCACGCCATATCCGACCCTTCAAACCGAAACACAACTGCTTCACAGTAGAAACACGAATGGGCTATCCCATTCCTCTATAGGTACCCAAGCAAACGGCTTTTGTACAAAGTCCTCTGGTAAGGTATATTAATGATCCTGATGAAAACAGGATTAGTCTTAGAATAAGCGTTAAAATAATGTTTCATCCTATCATATCAGCCTTTAACTGTCCACTGCTGAACATAAGCCTCCCCCTTTGGGGGGTTTTGGGATTAACAACCACAGTTAGGCTTTAGAGATGTTTTAAGAGGGACGCTGCTGCCCATCCCTCGACCTCCTTTCATTGCCACTTACGACACCCACGGGAAGGGAAGGGGTGGCTATTCTATGCCGGGATCACGCGGCTTAATTAAACAAAATAATTACAAATAATAATTATATTTCGCAAATCAAGTAAAACAGCGAGGTATGCGTACCTCGTGACAGTTGCAATGTCTCATTTTTAGGTTGCCTTCTTAGAGATGTAAGAAGACGTAGTTACCTTAGAATATTCAACTGATGTCTGTGATTTATTACGCTTTGATCGACCGGTCGAACGTTTATAAGTAGTTCAATTCTACATGTAGATAATCTCGAATTTATTAACTAGCTAGCTATAATAAGAAATTTTGTAATAATCTATTAATATTTATTATTACTAAGTTAAATTAAATACGCAATATTTTGTATAATTTTTATTTGTGTAATATTTTTTTCTCAAACATGCTTGAAAATGTGAGCATTATTTTGACAATCTTCTTCAAAACAAATCAAACTTGCCTTACTGGCCAGACACATGCGGGCGGCGGCCGGCAAAAGTTGTATGAAAATCCATATCTGTCGTGTTTTGCGGCCAGATAAATTACTATGTAAACTCATATCTGTCCTGTAATTTAAAAATTGAATGACCTTTTACTTCGAAACATGGCTACCAAGGAGGTAACTAATACAAGGTTTTATTTAAATTTCGAACTGGCTTGCAAATAGAAAGCTGTTTATTGAAAAAAAAAAACATTATGGCCCGTGAAAAATTATTATTGTTCGTTATTCGTCATTGAACTTAAAAAGTAAAATTGTGTTTTTGATTTCCGCGCATTGTTTGAGAAAAGTACTATAGAAGCCTTGGCCACAAGTAGGCATTGATAAACTCACGTATGTGTGCCTCGGCTACGCCTCGGCCCACATTTGCACGTTCGTCCATCAATGCTTCAGTTGCTGGCCGCTGCAGTAATGAACTATTACCAGTATGAATAAATAAAATTTCTGAAATATTAATTATTTATAATTGTTATATAAAATTTTTTAGTACTTAAGTATATTTGTAAAGCATTTGATATTATTTTTTAATATTAACGTGTGCATTTGATGTTAATAAAATAAAACAATATAAATAATAAAATGTGTTTTATATTGCACTAGCGATGGAATGGAATAGAATGGTAAACCGCCTGTGCTATCGGTGTACGTCGACGAGGCACCAACGTGTAATGATAGGTGAGTGGACCAGTTAGCTCATTGTAATTGATTCGAAAAGAATTAACTACGAGAATTTCCAGGTGGAACCGCTTAGAAGTCGATCTGATAGAGTATATTGCTAGCAATGAGACAGGTTTTTTTTAATACATGATAATGGAATGGTAGCCCCGTCTGCACTAACGGTATACCCCGACGGAGCATCAGTGAGGGATGATAGGTGAGAATGAAAAAGCATGTTAGTTAGCTCATCGTGATAAATACATTTGGAATTCAGCACGATAGTTTCTAGGGGGGACCACGTGGAGGTAGACCTAAAAGGATTTATTGTTAACTATGGGACTAGTAGTCCACATTACTAATAATCCCTTCCCCCCACAATGAGACTGTTACACTCCATTACTAACAATTACTTTTTCTCGAATTTTGTAGTGGTCACAACTAAATTTATAAGACACCTACCTAGACAGATAGATAGATAATTTATTTGCATTACTTGCAGCATACAAATTATAACATATACATAAAAAGCGAGATAACATAAATGATTAAAAAAAAAATACACAAAGCCAAGTACTATTTCCTTATGCGTGTGTCATAACAATACAAAATGGCCACAACTCAGTTTATTGCTTCGCCCACAAAAGAGCAAAGCACTGATATTCTGTTGCGGCCAAAGGGAATAGGGTAACAATAAAACAATACTATCAGATTATCCGTACAATAAAAAGGTAGATATACAGTAAACAGGCAGATATGATAGTTTATCTAGCAGACAAATGGAACCTACATATATCTAATAGTAAGAATTCAAGTACATCTCTTGTAAATATAGGTAAATATAGGTAAATATAGGCACCTTGACAACAAATAATATTTATATTCAATAATAAATGCTGTTATTCAATATAATTTATGGATAAGTAATTATTTGCGTGTCAGAATTTCACTTGAGTAAATAGTGACAAAATGGTGGAACCAATTATTGTCAATGTCGCAAAATATAAAATTTTAATAGTTGTAACTATGTGCGACTTTACTAATTATTCGACTGAGCGATTTAATCGAATTATTCGAATGATTTTGAAATTATTCGATTATTAATTTCATTCGACTACTAATTGAATTCATTATACGCTTTTACTCATAACTTCATTAGTAGTTGTTGATGCACGAATCGCTACGAACATAGCCGAGTCAATCCGATTGGTGAAATATCTTTTTTTGATAATGGCCAAGAGTGTTGCCAATTTATTTTTAGTAACTTATTTATCCGACTTTATTGCTACTTGTTATCTCCTAAAATTGTCCCCCGTATACATTTCATTCTCATTGTATGACGTTACATTTTCACAGTAAGGCAGTCATATTGATTAAAGCAATCTTTTTAAAGCAAACTTAAGGTAATGGGGAGAAGGGATTGTTAGTAATAGGGAGTGTAGTCGCCATTGCTATCAATATACCCTATCAGAGCGACCTCCACGTGGTTCCATCTGGTAACTGTCGTGATTAATTTATCGTTGAATTCTTCACGATGGGCTAACTGACCTGCCTTTTCATCCACACCTATTACCCCTCAATGGTACTCCGCCAATGTATACCGATAGCGCAAACGGGTTATCGTGCTATTTTCACTCATTAAAAAAAACGTTAAGATAATGGACTAATTTTCTGTAATTCTTGTTGAATTTACGATGGGCCAACTGCGTATAATATACCGATAGCGCAGGCGGGATTACTATCCCATTTTCACACATTAAAAAGAACTATGCTGCCATTGATTTTAATAACAGGATAGTAATTTAATACATTTCAACAATTTAAAATCTAATGTTAGACCGTCAGTGTAGGTCAATAATAAATAATATAAACAAATAAACGTTTTTAATACACCTAAACTAATATTTACAACGAATGTAGACAGGAATATACGAGTAATAATGCTAATCAGAAGTTGGATGTCAGGTAGACGTCTGCCGCTTGGACTTTGGTTTGCCGATCGCCTCCGCCTCCTCCAGAGTGTCCGGCATCTTGGTGCCGAGGGTCTCGGGCTGCGTGAGCACCAGGCACCCGGAGATCAGGCCCATCCCGCCGAACATCAGGTTTGGGATCCCGTGCCAGTAATTATCCGCCTGGAATATTTAATGGTAAAGTTTTAAGTTTAAAAGAGCGTATCGTAAAACAACATCACATTTTTTTGGAATTTTAAACAAATTAAATTTTTTTTTTTGGAAAGTACATGAACATTAAATTATTTTATTTTGAACATTAGATTATTGCGAGCCAAAATAACTTTTTTATAATTACATCACCGGTGATATAATTTTGAATAAGAATAATAATTTTACTAAATGACATGAAATAAATATAGTAATATTCCAAATTTCCATCTCTAGATAACACAAGTAATCAGGGGGGAAAGGGATTGTTAGTAATGGGGTCTAACAGTCCCAATACATCATATCAGGTCGATACTCACGCGGTTCCCCCTTAAAACCATCGTGGTTAATTCTTGTCGAATTCTTCACGATGCGCCGACTGACCTGTTTACATCCTCACCTATCGTCTGTCACTGGTTGCCTGCTAGCGTATACCGATACCACAGGCAGGGTTACGATTCCGTTATCATCTTATAAAGAAAACACAAGTACTCACTAATAGGGGAGTGAGCGGTGCGGTGATAGACCCGAGCCTGCCTATCATGGAGGAGAAGGCTAGCAGCGTGTGCCGATACTGCGTGGGGTACAGCTCCGAGGTGAAGAGGTACAGCGACGTGAACACTATCGAGATGCCGAACTTGCCCAGCAGGAATAGCACTAGCCTCACCGTGGTCAGGTCTGGGGCAAAGACGACAAATGCTTATTGTCTAGTTCCTAATAATATAAACTATCCTAGATCGAGGATCAGGCAATTGGTGTGATTGTGAAATACAGCGTGTTCTTCTTTTTTATTTTTACAACACAGGGGGCAAACTAGCATGCGGCTCAACTGATGGTAAGTGACTACCGCCGCCCATGATCACCCGCAATACCAAAGGCATTGCAGTTGTGCTGCCAGCCTTGTAAAAATGAATATGCTCTTTTTTTAAAGGTTATAATGTCGTATCAGTTCGGAAATACTGCTGATGAAAGTTGATTAAAAAAATGGTTGTGCGTGGAAGAAGATGCCTTGATAAATGCATGGTGAACGACGACGACGACGATGTCACTCATCCAGATGGTTGGGATGGCACTTTAGTATGTGGCGGGTTGTACGGTTGTGAAAATCAGGAGCATGTATCAATTCGAACAATTCCTCAAAGCATTCCCCATGATAAATTTGGTAGAAGATGGACAGAGATGCAACATCTCTTTCTTAATATGTAATGTATACTTATTTACAGCTTGTCTGATGGTAAACGGTTACTATAACCTATGAATGCTTGCAACACTGTGAGTGTAACGTGCGCATTGCCGATCCTGAAAAAATCTTAATATACCCTTTTTGAAAAACTTCATACTATAGTTTCTAAGGAAAATCTCGGCAAGGAGCTTATTCTACAGCCTGAGTGTTCGCGGGAAAAAGTTCCTTTGAAACCGCACTGTACGTGACCATTTAAGATCAAGTGTGCATGCTAAATATGTTGAGCGAAATAAATTACATTCACATTGTTAATATCAATGATGATTGATAAGTGATTGATGATGATACATTGGACAAAACTACGAGTAATTTTTAGAAGCAACATACATTTTTCTTCCGAGCGAAGATGCAGTGAGCTACTAATCCTAATAATATTCGAAAATGGGTCATGTTCAGCAAATATGACTCCTGTCTATCTGTCTTTTTGGGGGGCCTTCCAAATTTTCTTTCAATTTATAGGTCTCAGAGAAGCAGATATATCCGAAATATACGAGTAGAAGCGACTTTTTATAAAATACTTTCTGAAAAAATCATTTTTTCTGAAAATTCGAAACCAATAAAGTTCATCGACATTAGACAATGATCTCACTTGCTGAAAATCATCCATATAGGAAAGTTTGAGAGGTTTTGCCAATAGTTGATATGATTGGCAGGCGGGTTTGCAACCGCAGTTAGGCTCTGGTGATGTTTAAAAGAACGCTACTGCTTTGTCTTATGACACTCACGGCAAAAGTTTGTTATTTACTATAAGTTAGTTATTTAATATAAGTTTATTAGTTATCTATGTAAATTGAACTAACTAAACAAATTAATTTAATACTGATGAAATTTTGTTGAAAGAGTTTTGTTGGAAGAGAATTCTTTTAGAGTTAAGTTCGCCTTTGAACATTTGATTACCTCTGTCATATTTTTATGTATAATTAGTGTGTACAATAAAGTATTAAATAAAAATAAATAAATAAACATAACATATTGATTCATGTAAGTAAAGCCGCAAGAAATAGCTAGTATTCAAATAAAAATGGAAAATACGTGATTATAAGATTATTTGTACAATCACTAGATAGTTTTTATCGTTCGAAATCGAATTATTAGAAACAATGGTAACACGACCTTCAATAACAATGAAAGACAATATGACGTCCTTACTGATATAATAAATGTTAGAGTTTGTTTGTTCTATCTTAACAGCTCAACCAATTGCTATGAAATTTAGTGTACAGGTACTGTTTGCCTTACCAGAGGGAGACTTTGTACAAAAGTCGATTGCTTGGGTACCTCTGTCCCATTCGTGTTTCAACCGTAAAGTAGTTGTGTTTGCATGGCTGTGTTTCGGTTTGAAGGGTGGGATACGGCGTAAATTTACAGTGTACAGAGGAATAACACCTGAGTCCTCAGGAATGGCAACGCATGGGGGGTATCATGGGCAAAACAGTATACTCTGTTATGTCCATGGTACTGCTCATGTCTATAGGCAACGGTTACTACTTTCCATCAGGTGGGCCGTCAGCTTGTTTGCCATTCTAAGTTGTATAAAAAAAATAATAATAGGCGTTTACGAATAGTGATTATTTTTCAATATCAAATGTTCTCAATACTTGTGGTTGGCAACATATTTATCATTTATTCTTTTAAATTTCACTATAAAATCTGTCACTGTTTGTTACACAGTAAAAATTATTATTAATACTGAAAATATGAAAGTATGTTTGTATGGTTACCTTATAGCATCTTAAGGGCTCAAGCAATCATGAAATTTAATACACATATATAGTATTTGAGATAGAGGAGGACAATGACTATTTTTTTTTATCCTGGTGAATCAAGGGTTTACAGTTATGCGGACGTAGTTACGGGTAATAACTAGTATAGAATATAAATTGTAGTAACACAAACTTACCACTGGAAACAAATACGAAAGCGATATTGAAGGCTGCGCTCAGAAAGAAACCACTGGACAGTGTGATTTTCCTACCGACTCTGTCCAAAATGAGGACGGCCGTGAAGAAGCCGGGGATCTCGATGGCGCACGTCAGTATGAAGTTGAGGTACATATTGGTGCCAACGAGAGCGGTGGAGTTGATTGACAGTCCGTAATACACGAACGTGGTTGTGATCCACCAGATGGGCGTAGTGCACACGCGGCGAAGCAGAACCCGGGATTTGATGATGGTTTTAATTAAACCATAATCGTTGCCCTGCAAACAAATGTGGTATAAATTGCCAAATTATAGTAAGTAAAAAGTTCTTATTTTTACCCACTTTAACCACATTAGAAGAACAACGTGTTTTATTTTTAGTGTACAAAGGTAAATTCATAATCTTCTCATACAAAAATAGTGGTCAGTTCTTTTGGATGCCTTTTCCAAAATTTTGATAAAAAAAAAATAAACTTTAAAATCAAAATAACAACACAGTACCTCAGTAACTGGTGGCGGTGGTGGTGGATTCATTAACGAATGCATAGATTTCTCACTGATCTGTTTTTTATTGACTCTCGCTACTTTTTCTAATACTTCTTTTGCTTCATCGTATTTCTTTTTTGAGAGGAGCCACCTTACGCTCTCGGAGAGGAGCCAGTAGTAGGAGATAATCAGGAAGCACGGGATATGAAGAGTCATGATCATGTACCGCCACGGTTGTACTAACCAGGCCACAAGTCCTAGCACCACTTGTCCGATAGCAAACATAGAGGCACAAGTTGCACTTGTCACTACGCGATACTTCGGGCCGACAAGTTCAGTTGCTGAAAATATTATAATATGTTGAAGAAATTAATACATCTCATTCATTTCAATAATATCCAGATATTATGAAAAGAATTAGAAGCTACGAGAATTAAACGATGCGTTACAAAAACAAAGACATAGAAGATTTACTCAAAAAATTACCAAATATATAGGCAGAGCTATAAGTTCCGGCGCCAACTGTGGTCTGCAAGAGCTGAAGAACAAGATACATGGGGTAGTTGACGGAGAAGGCACGGATAAGACCAACCAGAGCCAAGTTGAAGACACTGAGAGTAAGCGCCAGTCTTCGTCCCCAGCGGTCCGAAATGAAGCCTATGATGGGGAGGACTAATAGTGTGCCAACGCTGTTTAGAGTACCAGCTAATACTCTTAAGTTGTCTTTGCAGCCCAAATTGAACTGAAAAACAAATTGTTAAACGTTATCATCATGTTGGATCATTATCATTACATTTTTAAACATGGACCTCAAGTCTCAAACAAGAGGACAGATATCAAATCAACTCATTACAATCCAATAAGTGAATAATCGTTTTATGAAAGCACTAGATCTAACCTGATGATATTTCCACAAACTTTAGTTCTTATTAGTGGACTAATTTTTAAAATTTCATCCTTTTACATCCATCAGTTTAGGATCTGCCAGTCTGTCAGAAATAATACAGAATGGCCATGTTCCAAAATAGAAATTTTAGTCATACAACTTGAGAAAGTACTTACATCATACACGACAGAGTTGTCTTTCTCGTAAACAAAGCTCTCACATTCGAGTGTTCTGGATTGTTCAAACAAATAAGCAGGGCAGTAGTCCAAGGATCCGTTTCCAATTTGCGAGGACTCGAAGCGTTCGCATCTAGTGTTATTGGGCATCGCATTAGAGAGCCAATCTGGTTCGAATACAGCATTTTCAGACGTTTCACCGCATTCTGGGATCATGCATCTGAATTTTTTTATATAAAACCATCATTGGCAATTAAGTATATTCTACGCAAACGATGCGTGTACTAAGTGTGTACTGTAGCCCATGAAGAAACATTTTAAAGACCTTTTAACAAAGATACGTCATAGATAATATAGAGTATTATTAATATTATCTTTAGGAATTAGCTTGCTTATGAGTTCATATCACAAGCTAAACTTTCACTGGAGTACTGTCGTCAATCCGCGTAGTTTCTCTTTAAATCAGACTAAAAGATCCAAATGTTTATTTAGGAGCTCCAAGCATAATTAGATTAGACTTCACTTACGAGGCTGCATTTGTCACTTATACAGTGTTTTTTATCGAGAAATAAGGTACCGCATTATTAAGTTGAGTATTCAGAATTTTTATAGATACCTAACTGGTTTTGTTGTCTTAATGATGTCTGATCAATTCGATATTTTGATAATGGAGGTTTTTAAAATTTTTGGACACTTTATAGGATTTTATTTCAAAACTACAGGCCTGTATAAAAAATTTAATTTCCTTAGCGGTGACTACGCAAGTTTCAATGAGATAAATTTTAAATATAAATTGTCAAAATGAAATACTCTTGTCAGTTGAATTGCCACTCCATTAGAAGTTATTTTAATTTCGAATAAGTGTATACTTGTAAAATTACAACTTCATATGAATCACTCATAACAACAAAGTTAACAAAGTTGATAACCCCAATTTGATATTGTACATTTGCGGTCTAGCATAATTTATCATATACCTATATATGTGTCAATTGGTAACTATTTATCAAAAATTTTTTAGTTTTATAACATTTTGTTATATATTAAAACTAGTAATACAAGTAATTCAACTTCGCTCGCGTGTGCTAATTTATCTGTAATTATATGCCAATATAGGGAAATATTTTGTTAAGAGAGGGACTGGCTGAAAACCAGGGCTGTGCCGCTGTTCATATTGCGCTGGAACGCTTACAGAATCAGCTGAGCCGGTGCCTTTTGCCTAGTATGAGACACTTCTTGTATATGTATTTTCTATGTTTTATATTGTGATTGTGAATACATTATTCTAAATACATATTAAGTGCTTAGCTACAAAGTGAATATAAATTTTCTTGCAAAATATCGTGTTGTCTGACAGTCAATCAGTAAGTATAATACGAGTATTTTCTAAATACAACGGGACAATCTTTGATAAAATCACAACTCATACAGATAGTAACAAATACTTGAAACATCGTATAAAGAATCGGAACAACGGACAAGACTAATAATGCAAGTTAAACAGATAAAAACTTTTTATAAGAAAATGTATAAAAACAATGCAGATTATTCTAAATGCTAACTATAAAAATGGCCTAAAAATTACAATAGGTACTTAATTAATAAAAAAAAAAAGAAATCGTTTAAATCTTAAGAAGTTAATTAATACGACAGAAAATTAATCATCAATAATGTCACTAATCTTTGTAATTAGTTCCTAATTTATTTTCACAAAATCTCACAAAAAATACCTGTGCGGTATAGCCGCAGCCGAAAAGATATATTCGCTCATGAACGCCGACATGATCATCGGCACCGAGATCAGCATGATCATGCGCACTTGGAACCTGCCGAACTGGCCGAGCTCGTTGATGAGCAGGTCGTCCAAATCTATCGGCTTCTCCGCCACACTGCCTTTCCTGGCCATCCTATTGCTTCCAGTTACACTGGGTCTGTCCGACATTACACTTCCCTTTCGACTTTCAGCCATCTCCACCCGTTTGCTGTGTTGATACAAACGTGCGGGGCGAACAAGGAGCTAGTTCTGTTTGTTTTGTATTCTATTACGTATAATGAAATGTACTCGTTTCTGATAACGCCCAATTATAATTGATATTAATCTTAATCATGTATCGTACGGGATTGTGAAAACCAGTGATGTGCGACACAAAATTACGACAGTGTTAATGGGACACGACGACGGAAGTGCGCCAAGGTCCTGACCCAATGATAATGCGAGTAGCACGCTGCGCTGTAAGGAACAAGAGTTCTTTCAACTGTGATTATACTCATGAAATTGGTTTCATGTTTTATATTTGGGTATCAGGGTCTTATTTCGATTTACTTTTTGACGAAATACCGCGAACATAAAACAAAAAATCAATCAATTCTATTATTGTTATCGGGTATGATTTTGGAGTTCAGATTAAAATTTGATCTGGCAAACATTTCTATGATAGTTATCTTAATATATTCTCTATTTGCATAATTTTATATCTCTATTTTTTTCCCGTAGGTGCTATGCTTGGCGGGCGGGTTGGCAACCGCAGTTAGGCTTCAGTGATTTTTTTAAGAGGGACGCTACTGCCCATTCCCCCACCATAAGCTCCCTTATATAACATTATTATTAATGCCTTATTTAATGTCAATGCGGACCATCCCTCGACCATTAGGTTCCTTTTAGCAAGTAATTATTATTGGTTAACTTCATGAGCAATTCGCAATCTGACAATACAAAATTTTATTTCTTTAAAGTTGTTCACTTTTTGCGTTGCAGTTGCAGAATTACCAAGAGCAAATGAGTAGTAGTTCTATACCTGTGACGCGGCGGTAGACATGTTGTTTTGTGTAAATGAGGTCTGAGTTTCGATTCTCGGTTGGGCTAATTTAAGAAATGAACTCTTCTTTCCTTAAATTAGCCCAGCCGAGAATGGAGCGGGAGGAGGATTGTTAGTAATGGGGAATACCAGTCCAATTGTTAACAATATACCTTGTCAGGTCAACTTTTACGTGGTCCCCTTTAGAAACCATCGTGCTAAATTCCAAGTCTATTCATCACGATGGGTTCACTGTTGATGATTAAATATGTTGATGTAAGCGAGTGCTGTGAAACGTGATAATAATCGAACCATAGTATTTGAGACAATCAAAGTGAAACTGTACAAGCAGTACACGAGTGGCATTAGCGATAATATTCTTTTGCGCATTTTAATTTAATCTTATCTAAGTATTGTACTTTCATTTAAATTTAATCGTCGTAGAGAAAGAACATATTTTCTTTTTCTAAAATAAGAATTTTTTTTTAAGCTATTTTCAAAAGCGACTTTCAATTCAAAGAGTTTACTCCCGCGTAGATGCCATATTAATTTTGTGTTTATTAAAGCTACCAATTATTATCAGGTGAGCCGCATGCTCATTTGCCTCCTTTGTTATAAAAATAAAATACCATTTAATTTTGTGGAGCAAAAAACTACTTCTTTCGAAGTAAAATCTGCATTTAGATATAGCGTTTTGGTATTCTAAATTTAAAAATTTACAACAAAGTGTGGATTGTAAATATTTGAATTTAGAATACGTGTACGAAAGATTTCGCCGCTCCACGATGTGTTTTATTACTAAGTAGCTTCTCTGTAGAACTATAATAACTTGTTAGGGTTCAATAATTCTATAAACAACACAAGGAAGGAAAAGCATCTTGATGCATACGAGTATATCAAATGTAATAGAAATTCTAGTAAATATTTAACATCATAATGATCAATATATTTATGGAAATTTATGTATAGTAGGAGTTGTTTATAATTTATTAATATAATTAGAAATAATCACTTAAATATATCATCCACGGTTTATAATACAGATGCTGAGCGTATTTAACTTTTAAATAATTTTAAATGAAGCCTTGATTGATTTATTATATATATATATATATATATATATATATATATATATATATATATATATATATATATATATATATATATATATATATATATATATATATATATATATATATATATATATATATATATATATATATATATGCCAGAGGGAGACTTTGTACAAAAGTCGATTGCGTGGGTACCTCTGTCCCATTCGTGTTTCAACCGTAAAGTAGTTGTGTTTGCATGGCTGTGTTTCGGTTTGAAGGGTGGGATATGTCGTGAATTTACTGGGTACAGAGGAATAACATATCATGGGTGAAACAGTATACTCTGTTATGTCCATGGTACTGCTCATGTCTATAGGCGACGGTTACCACTTTCCATCAGGTGGGCCGTCAGCTTGTTTGCCATTCTAAGTTGTATAAATATATGTATATATATTTAATATCGTTCGCGACAAACGACCTTCCAATGTACCTATGTAATCATATCTCTCTACCAATAAAAGAAAATAATCTAATTCCCATATCGACATAATTAATTACATTAGATTGGATTATTGTTTTGTTGGTAACAGCTAATTTGAATAATATTCAAACGATAGTCTATGCTAATCTATTATTAAAATGTACCAACTAGTTAAGGTTACATAGATATCTGCATTCTTTATTGTTAGGCATAATTACAGTGTATTTCTTTATGTAATATAATTTCTTTTACAATTAGTAATTGTGATGTACTCATTAAAGTTTAAACTGTAAATTTATATAGTGCATGATAATTCGAATTCCTACAGGAATCAATTGCTGATACACTTTGTACAATAAACTTACAAAAATTAACTCTAATTATCATATATATATATATATATATATATATATATATATATATATATATATATATATATATATATATATATATATATATATATATATATATATATATATATATATATATATATGATTATGAGTGAATTGAATTAAAAAATATATTAAATATTTTTTAATTCAATGCACTCATAATCGTATTTTCTGATATTGCTCACAACTTGGGTTACATGTTCTTTTTTATTATTTACTTCATTCATACTATGTTAAAGTAAATGCTGTGAATACCTATAATAGGCGTGTGCATTAATATTGTATTATATTTAATGTTTGTTATACCTATATGTTACAATGCAATATGCTGTTGGTGTTCCTTAAATAAATAAATAGACTGCAAGCAATACTGGGGGGAAAGGAATTGTTAGTAATGGAGTCTACCAGTTCCATTGCCAGCAATATATCAGGTCAGCCTCCACGCGGTTCCCCCTGGAAATCATCATGGTTAACTCTTATTTATCATCTTCACCTCTCAGTTATCACTGGTGTTCCGCTAGTGTATACATATCGTTAGCGCAGGAGGGGTCACCATTCCATTATCATCCATAAAAAGAAACAGATTACTAAAATACTAAACTTTCTCTAAAGTTCCTAAACGCTTCTAATCTCCTTAAAGGAAACAAGTAAACAACATAATTTGTCATCAAAAACCAAATTTTCAAAGAACCTTATGATTAATTAACAGTGGGAACAGATAATATGATTCCATAGGGAAAAGAAGTATTTTGAAAAAAAAAACTAACATGTAATTAGGATGAATGTATTTTTACACCTACTTAATCATATAGTAATAAAATATCACATCGTACAAATGATAAAATTCAATAAAAATAACCTTATACACTAGATATAATAAAATTTACAATAATAGTTATCACTCCTATAAAAAAAACTGTGTAAAACTTATCTACAACGACTGGGCGCTTATTGACAAAATGATTTCGTTTCTAAACAATTAAGATTAAATTCGTATTAACTTCTAAATTTTTTATACGAATTCTAAAATTTCTAAAATTCAATTCAATAAAAACAATTAGGTACTTGCTATTTTATTATAAATTTAACAGCCATTTTGAGTAAACTATATTTTAATTAATGATTTAAGAATATTATGGAAATTTATCCCTTTTACTGGTGGTCGCAATATGTGTGCCACTAACATTTTTATGATTTTTTCCACTTTGTAGCACCAATACCATACTGGTGTTGGCAAGGATATTGCCACCATGTTTTTTTCTTCCACTAAATATGAATATTTTTTTCTTTAATAAAAGTTATTAAAGTACCCACAATAAACCCAAAAAACGAGTTTTTAATTTTCCGAGACACAAAATTGCTTCTACCAGTTAAAGGGTTATTATTGTACTAAATTGAAATTTATCACTAGATACAAGATTTACACACATTTGTTTTCTCTCTTATAAAACATTTTTGTTTTGTTTACTTTCACAAACACGAATTTATATTTTGTTATTTTAAAAAAAAAATATAAATTTTATACGTTAAAATTCTAAAAAAAAAAATATTTACACAGACTTAAAATTAAAAAGGTAAATAATGTTTATTATAATATTTATTAATAAATAAACAATTAACAATAATATTGAAGTTTTTGTACCGATATGGATAGCCAATTTATCATTGGAATATAAACGAATATGAACATCGTCGCTTGATAATTATAACGGGTAATAAAATCATTAAAATATATTTAAAGTAATAAATATTCTAGTTTTATTATACTTTTACATTTATTATTTTATTGTTCATAATAATAAATAATAATTCGTTTGATCACAAGTCACTCATAATGTATTTTACATTATTATTTACATTACCTTTTATTTATACATAAATTATTAAATATTTATTGTCTTAGGAAATAACATTTCCCTAAATCCTAGAAGCTAATTATACTCCATGTGGCTATATTATGCTATAATATCACGATGAAAGGCCAAATGTCCTGGCTAAATAATAAACCAAATTAGCATCAGGCTAGACAAGTGCTAAACTATCTTTTTAGACATGTTTTCACTATCATACGTTATGCAAAATATCTGAAGTTTCTCATTTAATCTCATGATACGAGAGGGAGACTTTGTACAAAAGTCATTTGCTTGGGTACCTCTGTCCCATTCGTGTTTCTGCCGTGAAGCAGTTGTGTTTACATGGCTGTGTTTCGGTCTGAAGGGTGGGATATGGCGTGAATTTACAAGGTACAGAGGAATAACACCTTAATCCTCAGGAATGGCAACGCATGGGAGATGGTATCATAGGCGAAACAGTATACTCTGTTATGTCCATGGTAATGCTCATGTCTATAGGCGACAGTAACTACCTGATGAAAAATCAGGTGGGCGTCAGCTTGTTTGCTAAGTCGCATAAAAAAATCTCATGCCTGTGGTAGCGTAAACGTGTGATTGCTGTTTGTCTGCCCTCATGAACATAGTATACTTTTATTAAAAGAAAAAAGATTATATTAATTATATTATGTCAATTTTAAATATCGGGACTTACCAGTGATATGTTCATATAGATATAGGGCAGGCTTTAGTTAGTAGTGACCAGTAAGTCCTTTTCTAAAAATAATACCCCGTTATATTGACCCTCTGTTATACTGATCCTGTCAATTGCAGCTGACCTGCGAGAAGCTGAAGACCGTGCAAAATGGAATAACATCATAAGAGAGGAAACAGACACCTTTCAAGGACACGACCTTCAGTAATGAAGAGGACGAAGACAGAGAGAGATTGACCCTCTCCTTCCCTCCCTTTTCATGGAAATTGTCTCGATAAATTCATCACTTCAGCTATTATACCTCGCTCATATCCCGCCGGTATAGACAAATACTTTATTCCATTCAATTTTCATTAATTATTATTTGTTTATTATACCACAAAGGTAAACAACAAGCGTACAGCCTGATGGACGTTCATTGAACGCCTGCAACACCAAGAGAATCACGTGTACGTTGCCAAAACTTGAAGAACCCTTAGTTTAAGTTTAGTAACCGAAGTTGAAGAAACCTTAATACCCTTTTATTTGAAGAATGCCACATATAGTTTGTCTACGAAGCTACCAGGTGAGCAGCGGACGTTACGCTGACTAGTCAACTATAATGTCGGTGGGGTGCTTGGTGCGCGGCGCTGCGATGATGTTCTCGGCCTGCTCGACGGTGTCCGGCAGACGCATGTGCAGCGTCTCCGGCGTGAGCAGCATCAGCGCGCCCGCGCAGCCAGCCATCGCACCGAACACCAGGTACGGGAGGGACCGCATGTACCGCATCTGCCGGAGATAATAGAAACTTCTTACTTGATGATTAGACCCTGAAACTGAATGTTAACTTCTCTTTATCTTTAGATTTCATAATTACTTCCTGCGATGCAACAAAAAGCAATTGACTCTAAGTCTTGGAGCATTTATTTTATCCGAAGAAGAATTTGTCTTTTTGGGTTAAAGGTGAGTTTTGAATGGAAAATAACCGACGTAGCCCGAAGGATAAGCAAGCTGAAGTGGCAATGGGCTGGTCACATAGCTCGAAGAACTGACAACCGATCGGGAAGAAAGATTCTTGAGTGGCGACCGCGTACGGGGAAAATCAGTGTAGGACGATCCCCCATAAGATGGAGTGACGACCTGAAATGCATTGCAGGCAGTCAGTGGATGCAGGTGGCTCAGGCCCGTTAGAAGAGGCTTATGTCCAGCAGTGGACAGACAATGGCTGAAATAATAATGATTATAATCACAGTATATGACTTCCTTTCAGTGGGCAGGTACAAAGAATCTAAAGAACTCCTTGCATAGTAGCTATGCCAGAGCTACTTATTTATTTTAATTTGATGTCCTAATGAAAATGTTTGTACCAAAAGTAATTAAGGTGTTGCTAAAATTAATATAATGTAATGTACTATACAACAGATGCTACGTATACGAACCGTAAGCTTTGGTGTGCATGCTTCGAACTATTTAAATAATAACAAACTAATTCAAACTAATAACTGATATATGGTACATACACCTATTAATCTGAGAACGTTATAAAAAAGTAATTGCTTGTAAGAAGCAATTACAATGGTACTGTGCATTTTTATTGTATTTTTGCTAAGAGAGGGCCTGGCTGAAAACCAGCGCTGTGCAGCTGTTCACATTGCGCTGGGACACTCGCAGCATCAGCTGAGCCTTTTGCCTAGTATGGGACACTTATTGTATACTGGCTGTTGCCCATGACTTGGTCGCGTTTACGTCGTTTTTCGTAAAATAAGTAGCTTATGTCCTTCCTTACGGTTCAGTGGTTTTGATGTAACAGACACATTTCCCTTCACTGCTCTGCACCTATTGATCGTAGCGTGATGAAAAGTTTATTATAACCTGCCCAGAAGTATGAAGAATAATTATACCAAGTTTCTTTAAAATCTGTCGAGTAGTTTTTGTTTCTATAACGAACATACAGACAGACAGACAAAATTTTACTAATTGCATTTTTGACATCAGTATCGATCACTAATCACCGCCTGATAGTTATTTTGGAAATATATTTCATGTACAGAATTGACCTCTCTACTTTCTTATAAGCATGTATGTATTTCCTATATTTTCTATTGTGATTGTGTGTTTACTGGCAATAAATGTTTTCTATTCTATTCTAAAAAATAAATGTTACAACAATAAAAAATGTAGCTAATATAATATATAATAAAAATAGCGTTGTCTAAGAACTATTGGGAACTAAAAATCAATACAGTAATGAATCTAAGTGTCTTTAACGATTCAATTGCCTCGCTGACCAACCAACAGTGGCGTGAGCGTGGCGCCCAGGGAGCCAATCCGGCCCACCATTGAGCATGTGCTGACGAGCGTGTGACGGGCCTCCGTGGGGTACAGCTCGATGGTATAGATGTAGATCGACGCGAATACCATGCTGATCGTCAGTTTACCGAGCATTGTCAGCGTCAAACTAATATTTGCTGTTGGTTTTGAAAAACAATGTAAGAGATTTGTCTTGGGATTGGTATTGTACATACATGGAAAAAAAAAACGCTAAAAACCGTCAGGGGGATGCTAGAAGTGAAATAGAACACATCCAGACTTTTTCAAATTTTTTGTTTTTCTGTCTGTCTGTGTGTATGGGCTAATCTTCGAAATTGTTGGACCGATTTAAATGAAATTTTGCATGGTGACACCTTACATCCCTGGTCAACCGTTTAGAATACTTTTAATTACAGAAAATTAAAGAGTTCCCGTGGGATAGTTAAAAAACTATAGTAACTTATACAGATTAGTACACAACCTACTTAAGTAAAGTCATTTTGAACTAAGGCAAAGAGTGAGAACGACACGTCATTTGTTAATTTTGGTCCAGTATTCACAGACATAATGAATAGGTAGGTACATACGTCGATACATACTAAACAGGAATAAGAAATACCACGCGGACAAAGTCGCGGGCATCAGCTAATCCTACGTATGAGACGAAAACAATAAAGCGTACATTTTACAAATGCAATCTAGCAATATACTCAATCATGTCGACCTCCACGCGGTTTCCCCTGGAAACTATCATGGTAATTTCCTGATGAATTCATCATGATGGGCTAACTGGCCTGTTTTCATTCTCATCTATCACCCTTCACTGGTGCTCCGCCAGCGTATCCCGTTAGCGCAGGCGGGGTTACCATACCATTTTCACTCATCAAAAAAAAAACATGCAGGTAGTAAGTACTGCATAAACATAAAAATATGAATTCATAATACTTGACATGCACTTTCTAATCCCGTGAATGTTTTTTTTGTTTGTATCATTTATTGTAATACTTTTTAATGGGTGATAATGGAACGGTAACCCCGCCAGCGCCATCGGTATACAATGGCGGGGCACCAGTGAAGGGTGATAGGCGAAGATGAAGTAGGTCAGTTAGCCCATTGTGACGAATTCAACAAGAATTGTTCACGATATTTTCCAGGAGGAACCACGGAGAGGCCTAATAGGGCAAATTGTTAGCAATGGGGCTATCAAACTCCATTGCTAACAATCCCTTTTCCCCCAATATTGTAATACTTGACCGTATGGTCCCGGCACAGAATAGGCCATCCCTTCCTTTCCCATGGGTGTCTAAGTCGACTAAGGGACAGCGAGGGATGGACAGCAGAGTCCCTCTTGAAACATCACCATAGCCTGACTGCGGTTGCCAAGCTTGGCAACTACTGGAAAAACCCCCAAATTTAGTTTACCAAAAAGCCCCAAAGGAAGGCTTATGTTCAGCAGTGGACAGTTAAGTGATGATTTGATGATCATATGATGATTGTACTACTTGCTGATAACAGAATTTTGGTAACCCTTAAAATGATATAAACATACTGACCAGAAGTGGTGTTTGTGGGGCAGCAATGGAGCCTATTCTACCGAACATAGAGCAGACCCCGAGCAAGCTGTGCCTGGCGGTAGTCGGGAACAGCTCGGAGGTGTAAATATAGATGCTGCTGAACGCCATACTGATGCAGAGCTTGCCCAGCATCGTCAGCGACGTCAGCAGCCATTGCAGCGCTGAAAGTTATCCTCTATTGGCTACTGACTCGCTACCAAATGGATGCATCTATACTATAATGATCAATCGATATTGTAATGCCAATATGAGTTACTGTAGATATTTTTATAATCACATTTTCATGATTTAGCTACAAGTTCGTTGATGATATGGAATGTTGAGAATGAATATTAAGAATGAATCTGCAATAATTCAGATAACTATGATAAAGCTTTTAATATTTGTGATTATATATACGTACTGCTTGGTATGAACGGTAGAGAGACTAAGGCAATACCGCAAATGATGAATGCGGTCATAATCGAGCCTTTCCTCCCAAAGCGGTCTAGCGTCATCACACTGATGAAGTATCCCGGGATTTCCACCAACGATGTGAGGATGTAGTTCACGTAACTATTCCCAGCTAACGCCACCGAATTTATTGATAGACCGTAATAGATGAACGTTACTGTTATCCACCAAAATGAGCATATGCACAGCCGAGACATTAATATTTTAGATTTTACAACAGCTATAAAGAGCGAAGGCTTCTTATTTTCGTCAGCTTCACGATTTATTCCTGTCTTTGGTTGTTTCACCACTTCTTGTGGCTCTTGTGTCAACTGTTTCACTGATTCGGGAGACAATTTCTTCTTGTTTATATTAGCTGCTTTAAATATTATTCGTGCAGCTTCTGCCTTCTTGTTTTTGCTGAGCAGCCATCGTACACTTTCTTCTATTACGAAGTAATAGAAGACGAAGAGAAGCGAGGGCGCGTACAACACTCTTGTGAGTGTCCGCCAATCGGGGACGGCCCACGCTACCAGCGCTAGGACCACTTGTCCCGTTGCAAATGTGCACGATATTAAGTTGCCGCCAAGAACTCGTCGGTTTAGGCCCACCATTTCTAAAGCTAGAAATAGATAAAGTACTATTAATAAAGCAAAGGAATAATTACTGTATGCAACTTGATATTTTTGCCCGATGACCAGTGTTTTTCATCCTTAGCTGAGCTAGTTATGTAGAAAATACACATCTCGTATGAGCATTCGACGGCTGTTTACTGCATAATGAGCTTCAATATTGTAATTTCAGAGTTTTATGAAATGAAACAATATAATTGAGATCTTACATAGAATACTTTTTTATTCAACTAGAATGACAAACAAACTGACAGCCCACCTGATGGAAAGTAGTAACCGTCGCCTATAGACATGAGCAGTACCATGGATATAACAGAGTATATTATTTCGCACATAATACCTCCCCATGCGTTGTCATTCCTGAGGACTCAGGTGTTATTCTTCTGTACCCTGTAACTTCACTACCATATCCTACCCTTCAAACCGAAACACAGCCATGCGAACACAACTGTTTTACGGTAGAAACACGAATGGGCCAGAGGTAGCCAAGCAAACCACTTTTATACAAAGTCTCCCTCTGGTATATATATTTCGTGTTAAGAATTTTATGCAATGCAAGCTGGTGATAATAGATTGTTAAAAATATACATCTAAAGTAAATAAATTATATACCGAGGATAAAGCCAGTACTGTAGACACCAGAGCCGAGCGTGGCGTCGAGGAATTCGAACACGAGGTACATGACGTAGTTGACGGAGAATGATCGTATCAGACCCATCACACCCGCACTTACCGCCGTCAAGATGAAGGCCGTCCGTCGGCCGAAACTGCAAATATATAGTATAAAATATCATCTAGGTAACTATTGACGTATCTAAGTGAAAACAAGAATTCGTTTGTGGGTTTAGCTCTCTACTAAGATTTTTCGCAAAAGCGTCAATATGGGACTCTTCCAAAAAAACAAGCTTACAGAATTCTAACAGACTAGCATCACGCTAGCCACTTCCATCGTATAAGAAGTATTTATAAAGGATTTGTTGGTAGTGAGGAGGTCACTCCAATGCTCTCCCATGATATCCTGCCAACGTATACCAATAGCGTAGTCCGGATTACCGTTTATTATCAGTTCATTGAAAAAAGGCTATTTATTTTTCTGAAATAGTGACTTGCTTCTTACGTATCTGATACAAATGATGTGAGCGGCAATGCGGCGAACAGTCCCACGCTATGTATGGTACCCACCAGGGTACGCTTCCACTCCTCGCACGCCAGGTCGAACTGAAATATACAGCATATACATCATTATATACGTTGGTTTCGCGAACATAACTGGAATGGCTTACATTCATGAGCGGTCCCATCTCAAACAGTAAGGGTTACCCCAACGCTTGAGATGGGATGGGTGAGGACGCAGTCTTCGTGATGAAGAATTAAGCATGACGTTTTCAGGGGATTTAGATCTGCTACATGAGCGTTTTTGTGATTTTTTTTTTTTATTTTATGCAACGTATAATGGCAAACAAACTGACGGTCCACTTGATGGAAAGTGATAACCGTAGCCTATACACATGAGTACCATGGACATAACAGAGTATGTGTTATTTGTTTTTTTTTTTTTAATTTTTATTATGAAGTTTTTGATTGAACATATAAAAGATTTATTTATTTATTTATTTATTCATTAGTACAAATATGTGTACATGGTGGACTTAATGCTAAAATCATTGACAAAGACTGGCCTTATAGCAAAAAATAGTCTCCTTTACAGTATATAAATCAATAAAAAAATATTGTTTAGCGGTAACGAAAGCCGTATTTTGGGTCAATCCAGTTAATACCAGTTCAGTGCGCTGTAATCTAATCATTCCTAACATTATTGCTTTGACAAAGAACGGTTAAAATAAGGACAATATATAATTTATTTTAATATCAATAAAAAAATATAGATTGTAATTTCAGATAATTTTTATATCAACGATTGAACGAGAGAGATAATTGTTAATAACGTCGAATAGTGGTCGCATTGCTAGCAATATACTTTGTAGGGGGAAAGGGATTGTTCGGGAATCGGATCTAACAGTTAATAACTATATACCATATCAGGTTCACGTGGTTCTCCCTGCCATCGTGATTAATCGTTTCGTCACGATGGGCTAACTGGCCTGCTTTCACCCTCACCTATCACCCCTCACTGGTGCCCCGCCAGCGTATACCGATAGCGCAGGCGGGGTAACCATTCCATTATCGTCCATTAAATATATATATATATATATACTTTGTAAGGTCGACATTCACGCACTAAGAAAACCATCATAGTTCCTGATAAATTTGTCACGATTGGAATGGTTGGCTATTTTAATCTCTTACTGCCAAATTATTCCAGCGCAGACGAGGCTGCAATTCCAAAATGATCGTTTAAAAAATACTGACCTCTTGAACAATTGTGTTATTGTTCTCGTAAACCCAGGAGGTGCACCTCTCGGTCTCGTTCACGTGGAAGGCGCCAACCGTGCACGTGTCGCCGAGGGACCGCAGCCGCTCGCAGCGGCCCCCTGACTCCGGGTACGCCCACGCGGTCCAGCCGCCGGCCGCGTACTCCGGGGAGGACGACTCGCATTGTGGTACCTCGCATCTGAAATTCACATTTTTTACACTTACACATTGGTTATCTACTCATTGGGCGTGATTTTATGGCATCATTCTCCAAACCAATTGTTAAGGGGGAAAAGGATTTTTAGTATTGGGGATCTAGCAACACCATTGCTATCAGATCAGAGATACCCTATCAGATCGATCCACCTTCATTAATTCTTTATGAATTCGTTACTTTGGGCCAACTGACCTGCTTCATTCTCACCTACCATACCTCATTGATGCCCCGCCAGTATATACCGATATCACAGACGGGGTTACCATTACATTATCATCCATAAAAAAAAAACAAATTCTAAATTTTAAATAAAAGCCACAACGATGGCTTTATTTTAATCAATACGAAGTTTCTAGAAATTTTGACTTTTTAATTTAGAGGTTTCGACAAACAACTAGAGGAAGACTTTGTACAAAAGTCGATTGCTTGGGTACCTCTGTCCCATTCGTGTTTCTACCGTGAAGAAGTTATGTTTGCATGGCTGTGTTTTGGTTTGAAGGGTCGGATATGGCGTGAATTTACAGGGTACAGAGGAATAACATCTGAGTTCTCAGGAATGGCAACGCACGGGGGGTATCATGGACGAAACAGTATACTCTGTTATGTCCATGGTACTGATCATGTCTATAGGCGACGGTTACCACTTACCATCAGGTGGGCCGTCAGCTTGTTTGCCATTCTAAGTTGTATAAAAAAATCAACCCAACTTATCAAGAACAATAATCTCTACATTCTTTTGTTTTCTGAAAAGGTTCAGATGAAATTTAAAGAATATTAGGATGTTCGGTTTGCTTTTTATCCCAAATTGATAATAACGAAGATACAGACGCTGGTAATCAAATGTATTTTCAAAATAAAATATATACATTGGAACAAAATAAAACTGTTCAAATAGTCTCAATTTGAATTCAAATCTTTGAATGCACATTTAATTGAATTCAAAGATTTGAATTCAATTAAATGTGCATTTTTATTAATACATAATTCTTTAACTAAGAAATGGCGACCATATCTTCTCTGACGCTACAAGTATTTCCAGTTTTCCAACACTCTGTTGCTAAGCAATATGCAAGCAAATGACACTTGCAAGCAACACGAGTAGGTGAGCAGATCTTCTATCCGCATTCTTCAAACTGCATTTCACAATGTCCGTATGCTCGTCGCGTCACATATTTTATTTATAAGCACTTAATGGAGAATAAATTAAACAACAAAGAGTTCACGGGACGAGAGGAGCGGACAAACAACATTTGTGACTTATCACACAATGATGATTAGCGACTGTCTATTTCGACATACGTAAGTACTGGCGAATCCTCGCAACCTGCACTTTGAACTGCATCCATTTTAAATTTCATGAGTAATAAATTATTATATGATAATTCATATTAACAATTTAAAGACAAAAATGCTAGTAAAGCAAGTACTACTTTATTTTATGACACAAAAAAAAAAACAAAATTGAGTTAAGGGAAATTATTTGATATTTAAAGTATTTTCGTCCAATAATAATTAATTTGATATTTAAGGAATAAAACCCGAGTCCATTTCATGGGCGAAACAGTTCAATATGGTACTAATTGTCTATAGGCGAACCACTTTCTATCAGGTGGGCCGTCAGCTTGTTTGCCATTCTAAGTTGTATAAAAAAAAATTAAGAAAAGAATAGAAGACCCATTTGACAAACTTGTATTTTGGCTTTACAATCAGATCATGATTTCATAGGAACAAAATAGGAAATTAAACTCTATCGATTGAAAAAAGAATTATTAAAAACGGTTCTGACGACGTAATCGTGTAACATAACCACAAAAAAATATCAACCGAAATTAGAACTTCATTTAGAAGTCATTTAAAAAGAAAAATGTTTTCACCACCATCTTATACATTGTTGTCGTAAAGAAATAGGTAATATGCGCGTTGTGTTCCGATCGGAAAGATAAAGTAATTAGTGAGAAAGAAAAGCAACAAGTGTGCCATAAACGTGTGGACGTTACAGTATATTCTATGATGCCCATGGCGTTATTCATATTTATAGATGACGATTACCGAATTCCGATTCCAATAAATTGCATAGATAAGACAGCAATTGCATAAATATTGTGATTAAGGGTGGACCTATCTCTAAAAGAGATTTCTTTTAGCCAACCCAATACAAAAAATGTAGTTAGCAGGCAGTTAAAATACACCAGTGCTCTAAGAATAGATACAAATGCATATGGAATAAATAATATTACATAATTAAATATTAATTTATATACAAATTAATACTTCATTTTATATTTGTATAAATTATATTAAATTTGAGTGTTTGACTACAGTTTAAGCTGTTCTTAAGTGATTATAATAAGATGTCTATTCAGTCTAGCTTCGACATTTCTAGTATTAACATGAGGTCCTATGTTAAAGGGATCTGTAAACATACCGGAAAAGAATTTCTCTTCTTGGCTGTTCGTATAAGAAACGATAAAACGAAGCACTTGCTATGAATAAGTGGAATATCAGACATAGTGTGAAATCGTTCCCGGCACATTGTTGATAAATGGTAGAAGCATACTGAAGGAATTATGCAGTTCCTGCGTACACTTTCCAAAATGCAATCTTTAAAATACCAACAAACAAGTTACCTCACGGCGATGACTAGGACTTTGGAGCTTTTCAGCGACAAGTGCCTGTTATAATATTTATTTATATTTTTAAATTTATTTACATGAAAAATTCAATATTGGTGTCGTGTGTTCATTACATTTTATACAACGAAATGAACTACCACCTGTTCATATAATGATGTCAATTCTAAAGCATTTCTCGTCGCAATTTGCCAATAACTTGTTCCTTTGTTTATAATGAACGCGCTTGAATTCAGTGAAGAATTCAAAACAAGTTGTTTTTTATTGAAAATTTACCAGTGTGACCTACATATAGTAGTATATTTTTTTTTGATATTTTTTTTTATTCAACTTAGAATGGCAAACAAGCTGACGGCCCACCTGATGGAAAGTGGTAACCGTCGCCTATAGACATGAGTACCATGGACATAACAGAGTATGTGTTGTTTTTTTTTTATTTTTATTATGAAGTTTTTGATTGAAGATATAAAAGATTTATTTATTTATTCATTAGTACAAATATGTGTATGTATATACGTCCATGATACCCCCCATGCGTTGCCATTCCTGAGGACTCAGATGTTAATCCTTTGTACCCTGTACATTCACGCCATATCCCACCCTTCAAACCGAAATACCGCCATGCAAACACAACTGCTTCACGGTAGAAACACGAATGGGACAGAGATACCCAAGCAATCGACTTTTGTACAAAGTCTCCATCTGTCAGTTTATTATATTTGTGTACATATTACACGATAGTTGTGCTAATTTTTTTTTCTTTTTGTAATACAGCGTCGCGGCGTTTCTGTGTCGAGCCGTGCTGAGTTGGGCCCCGCACTTTGACCACCACACTATCTATCTAAATACCACTGTATCAATCAATTTATTAATTTCCTCTTTTTACATGAAATTTTTAGGTTATTTCTCTACTGCTCTTATGTTATATTTGATATGTTTTAAGTCGCTTTATTTTAACGTTTTTTCGATTGTCGTCACCAATTCTGAAACGATATTGAGAATCATTTTTGCAATCGATAGGGTTTACTCTCGTGTTAAATTCTTATAAAATTTATTACAAGTAACGCGCTGTAGCTTTACTGAGCAAGATACTGCTCATCGCGGAGTAAAATCTAATCAACTCCATTTTTTATTTAAATATTTTCAGTTTACCTATGTTAATTACTTATGCCAAAACGTCTTGGTTTATCGGTTGTTTTATTCGGCATTTGAAGCCGTCATTTTTTATAATGAATCAAAATATACTTATATTGTGTCAAGACATAACAAGTTTGTAAGTTGTTAGGATGCATTTACTTGGAGACACGGAGTTCTTTTATTTCTCATTTGCAATGTAACATATTTTATTTATTTTATTTAAACTATTATTATAAAGAGGAAAGATTTGTAGATTAGATTAGATTTGTTTATTTGCGTGAACATTGTTTTTTACAGATATTGATCTATTAGATGAAGTACAAATGTTCGCCTTGTATTCTAAAGCGTGCAAAATTATTATTGGGTACACGATACATTACATTTAATACATACATATAAGTGCTAATTAATAATAGAGTACAAATTATGTCGTTCTGTAAATAATTCTCCCAAAAAACGATATCGTTTATCGACATTATGTAAAAATAATTCGTCAACTGTCACAATACTGTTGTTATAGATAAACCCAAAAATTAAAAAAAAATCTAAACTGGTTTTGAAAATTCTTTCATGTATAGAAAGACACATTATCAGTAAATAACAGGATGTATTTTATAAAAAAAAAAATACAGATATTATACTCATCTAGTCATTGAAATCCAGGGTGAATCACTAGTGTTTTATACAAATAATTAATACCCTTCAAAGTAGGAACCAATTAAAGGAAAAATACTTTAGTACACGGGTACTTCTTATTGGAAACTGTTTTACTTGGAAAGGAAAAATACTTGACAAATTACCGGTAATATATTAAGGAAGTATATTATGATTAAGTCGAGCTTAGCATATATGAAGACTTCAATGCCGTCATTTGCATAAGGTCATCTTAGGGATATGAAGTATCCTATGTCCTTCTACATACCAAATATCATATGTAAATAGGTATGTCAATTTTCATGAGGTTTTTTTTTATGTCAACCTGATGGAAAGTGGTAACCGTTTATAGACATGAGCAGTACTATGGACATTTTGTTTCGCCCATGATACTCCCCATGCATTGCCACTCCTGAGGACTCAGGTGTTATTCCTCTGTACCCAGTAAATTCACGCCATATCCCACCCTTCAAACCGAAACACAGTCATGCCAACACAACTGCTTCACGGTTGAAACACGAATGGGACAGAGATCGACAAAGTCTGGCCCGGATACGCTGG